ATATCTAAGCATACTGAGATACAAATACTGTGATTTTAGGATCTTAGTTTGGGTTTTAGGGGTTTTAGGGGTAAATCGGAGTCATGAAATAATTAATTGTCATAGAAATCCAAGATGGCTGCCAAAATGGGTGCCAAAACGAATTCGTAATTATTAATTTAAACTCAAAAAAACACTCAGGAACAGTGAATTTTTAGCCTATGTCTACATTTTAAGGGTCAAGGATTTCATTTACATGTATGTCTAAAGCTTTCAGTTGTCAAATAATTGCTTTTCATAGAAATCCAAAATGGCCACCAAAATGAGTGCCAAAACGAATATGTAACTTCTGATTTAAGCTAAAAAACACTTAAGAACAGTGACTTTGGAGCCCATGTCTACATTTTAAGGGTAAAAGATTTCATTTATGTCTATAAGCACCGGGTACTAAATAAGCTCTTGGTCTTCATGACATGCCTTTGAGTTTTCGATGACAGAACTGTTGATGAACTGTCAAATGATCATCGAGATTCATTCAAATATCTATATGCATTGTGAGATCAACAGTCTCTACCATCCGTTGGAATGGAGAGACTGTGGATCTCACATTAAGCTTCATGATAAAGAGAGACCCTGATAAATCAGAATGCTCTATGCCATGTTATTTACGGGAACCCTCCTCGCCGGATCCACCTCAACAATGGCTGCCCTATAATCACGCCTAAGTTATAAATTCTCGGATTAAATTGCATAAATAACATCTTCAATAACATAGATACGTTTTTATGCTAACATAATACAAATAAGAAAGGTTCACCATTATGTATCCTGCATTAACTACTCTTAAATACATGAAAATTCATGAAGATTCCATTATAATTTGCACTTTTGTCTCACCCTGTATATCATGTACATTATATGTATATCATGTACAATATGTTCATCAGTATTGCTCGCAATGAATGACAGACAATACATCATCATAGAAATAGATTGACTGTACGAGGGTTGTCCCATAAGTCTATGAAACTTACAGAGATAGATCTAGAAGAAATATATCTAAGTTACAAAATGTGAAATTTTTATCATTGTATCTCAAATATTCTATGAATTAGAATACAAATTTCAAGACTTATGGGACAACCCTCGTATATCAGGTATATCAGCGCCTCAAGATAACAACGTGTTTGTTAATAGAGTGTAAATGAGACAGTATTTTAATGAGCTATCTGTCAAAAATACACTAACCCTCCAGGTTGAAAAATCAATTTAGTGTCTCGCAAGATATAGGCATGACCTAACAAGATGACTTAAACGCCCCAAGTGCAACTGTCAAGGAAAAACAAAGGGTAAGTGTACTGCATAACATATTATAGTCTGAACGACATAGAACTAGTTCAAGGAAGTAGTCCCAGGAAATATCTACAGATTGTGTTAAAAAATACTTTCGTTATATTGAAAAACTTCTTCACTAGGATACGGGATACAATAGTTCTTCCAAATTATCCCGAAATGATAAATATTGATATCTTTACATAAAATTCCTTTATACGTTTGCCCTATAATATAACATTAGAGCCGCTAATGAGTTGTTTCAGTAATCGATCGTTGTTAGGGCTAACAAACTTGACTATTGCCCACAGGAAATCATAACTTACCAACGCCTTCCAATTCCTAGAACCGGAGTCGCTACGAAGAGTATAGTAAACATACATACTGTGCATTTCTTCTCATTGCTGGTCTTTTTTACATTAAGTTTTTCTTTGGGGTGTGTTGGTGTTTGCTCAAGGGCGAACGTAAAACCCAGAACGTGCCACGCTCGCAATTTCAATGTATTCTGCGTATCCTGTTCTATCAACCAATGAAATACTAAAGTAATGAGGACATGCAAAGCCCCGGATATATACATACTAAGGCCCGGGTATTAAATAAGTCATTGGTTTGCTGTCTTTGAACCTGCTATATTCCTTAATATTTATTTTCCTACTTTGTTCCTCGAGACATTTTTCCTTGTGCTTGTAGCTATATGCTATTTTATTATATACCCTATATGTATTCTAGATGCTCATTGGCTTATTCATGGTCACCTGATTTGAAATAGATGAACTAATTCCCTTGAAAGTCCCAAGTCCCTGATAACAGCAAAGATGAAATGTACTAATCACCAGTTAGGTCATTCTGATACTCATAGCATCTTTCTGTTTCACCTGAAACATGCTCTGATATTATGAGGGATATTCTGTGATCTGAGCACATCAGATGGGAAGATTTATAAGTGTGATAGCTATCATGTAATCATTTACCTTATGCCAATACATTACATAATAGGCATTGTATTTAACAGCAGAAATTAGCACAGGCACAGGTACACAAGTTTAATGACCCCAATTAGATAAAATATGAGCTGGGGTGAAAGATCTCAAAAATCCTCAATATTGGGCTCTCCTGGATCGTTAAATCAAGCTCATTATATCATGGCATCTCAGGGCTGAGAAGAATTGAGATGTCATGTTTTATCATGATGCAGTTAGGTCATTTGACCAGTCATTAGTACATTTTATCTTCCCTGCTAGCTGTGATTTATGGGAGTTGAATGGCAAAATGCCTTTAAATGCCTATAAGAAGCTGTAATCATTAAATGTTGGAATTAAAAGATTTCTCATTTTGTTTTTATTTGCGGAGTACATATACATAAGGTATATGATAAAACAAATAGTGACTGCCACATTTTCGGGAAATAGTGTAAAAAATCCCCTAGGGAATATCCTGTCCACTGACATGTTCCCTCGGCCTGCAAACTTGGGAACATGTCAGTGGACAGGATATTCCATCGGGAAAATATTTTGCACTATTGCCCTCAATGGCAGTCGCTATTTGTTAAATAACTGATGGGTGCCGTTGCTTTTAGTCGCTGTTTGGTGTAAATGAGCTATTTCATCCATGATAAAAAATATAGAAAAATGTAATCATTAAACGTTTTTAAAGTCAATTTTGGATGGATTTTGTTCAAATGTGTCTAAATCTACTTGGCTCGAAAGGTTCTCATTTGTGTTGAGGGAAAACGCAAGTTATGAAACCCTTTTTTACAGGAGCTGATGACATCAGAACGAGAAAACGGAAATTACTTGACGTGTCTTCCCTATTCAGGTAACAGACGTACCAATGACCTGAACAGCGACAAAGGTATTTCATTTTGAGGCTAATAATAGCCTAAAGTTTCCTGTTTGATAGAATTACATCTTTATTCCTATCAAGAGCTTCTATCAAGGATAAGAGGAAGTTAAATCGTCCTTACATTGAACAGTACAAGGTTGTTGAATTCAAAGAATTTCTTTCGTGACAACATTGACACGTATTATTTAAAAGATGAGATGTAGCAATAGATACAATGCGCTGACTATACAGGCCCGTAGCCAGGGGGGGTTCGATGGGTTCGAGCCCCCCCCCCCCCAACCCCTCCTGGCCAAAATATCTTTCACCATTCTGACCATTTCTTAAGTGATTTTGGCCATTTTTGGACCAGATTGTCACAAGTGAACCCTCCCTGGAATTTTTCAAAAAGCGAAGCCCCCTTGGCAAATCCTGGCTACGGGCCTGCTATACCAGATGTAATTCATCATTCAAACAAAGGAACGGTTATTAAAAATATCATCTGTTCCGACCATTAGCTAAATTGCTAGTAATTCTATTTAATTGAAAGTCTATATACCAGTAGTTATGTAATTCATGGTAACCGTTTGGATCACAATCATTATAAAGATCGATTCCAGGATAAAATGATATCTCGTAGCTAGGCTAATTTGGCTAACATTAGAAAGACACATCATAAAATGAAGTGGATTTTTTGTAAGGCCTCATCATGATTGCAAATCAGCATATGGATTATTTCATATAACTAATAAATCACGCGCTGTACGGATCCTTAATTAATGAGGACAGATTTCTGAGCTAATATAGGCCTTCAATAAAATGATCGTTGTCCTGGTAGGATCCAGAAATATATGACTGACTTTCTGATCATTGAACCTGAGACTTAACATTCAAAGTATTTTAGACCTAAACTTGAACTCATACTTTTCAGAAAATCATATTTTTGTAAAAAAAAACAGATCTCGCTGAAAATATGAATTTTTGCTTCTTAGTCAAAAAATTCTCACTACACTAAATAACGTTGCCAACTACGAAGTAAAGGGAGATATAATAGGACGTCGGACAACCATTATACTTTCTACCAACTACAGTTACCCATGAGCCCAAAAGCAATGAAGCGAAATCTAATGAATATTACAAATATTAAAAAGGCTAATACACCAAATACTGTGTGTATGTTATAAAATATATAAGCTGTGCTTCTTGAAATCATTAATACTCCCGTAACGTTTACACAAGATATCTTATAAGCCTTTATATCCTCTGGGAATAAGAAGTTGATTTAGCTGGAGTAATTAAACCATGTTTTCCGTTTGTTACTACAAACAACTATCGTTGTTATGGTGAACTTACTTGTTGTCGTTATGGTAACCTCAAAAGGTATTACATAATTATTGCATACAGTTTGTGTTTTGTGATAACAAAACGTACCATGCCAATTTAGTTGTAGATTCTAATTCATCTTATCAAAAGAACTTATGAAATGTGTTACTTGAACTTTAATTACCGTAAATAATTTTAATTTTGCGCCAGTTTTATCTTAAGGATTTGCATATTCTGTTCAAGAATGCAAATTAAAACATTGGTCAGTAACACATTGCAATGTTATCCATTGGTGTTTTGAAATATTTCTTTAACTATTCAATAGATTAAATGGCCGCCAATTCACTGAAAATGGCAAATTCGCCAAATTAAAACTGTCATATTATTCCAATTTACAATACCATATTAATTGACTGTTTGATGAATGTGTTTAATGGTTGGATATTGATTGCTGGTAGTTTTTTCTTTGTTTTCGAATTTACCCCACTTCTATGTTACTGCTTCGTTAAATTATTTCTCTATTAACTTCCATGTTTTACTCGACTTACCTGACAATGTTCGATTAGAATCCCACTCCTCAGATGACATTGGGAAAAATTGAATGTTCAGCCATCCGAACCGTCAGTATATTTTCTGGATCTACTCCGCTATTCTGAGACCTCTCTTCTCTGTGCAAGTAGAAAATGAAATGATGGAATATCCTTATACATTTAGATACTGAACTAAGATCTTTGTCTTTAAGTGTAAGGCATTCCCTGTGAGTGGATTGATGTTTTGTGTCGGGATACAATTTTATTCAATTTAATCTCCGTATTTGCGGTTACAAAATATCTTATTTTCTTAGTAATATCTCACAATTTCTCATCGACTCATTCGTTGTTTGTCAAGATGTTAGTGGAATGTGTTCCGTAGAATTCGTACTGAGTTGAGTTACGTAGCTCTCTGTTTCGCTGCCTGTATCAATCCAACGAGTCAACTATATCTAGTAGTGCTATTTCAGTAATCTTATATACGCAGTAGGTTATCTTCAATTCAAATACACAGTTATATCAAAATATTAATAAGTCAAACTAGTGATGGAGGCTAAGCAAACCGAATAAAAAACAACTTCTGTGGAATTCTTGCTGTCATATTCTTTCGGAAAAACATTACTTACAAATTCCAGCGTTTCTGTTTATTATAAGATTATCCCATTAGCCGAGCAATCTATTATCTTAGCTCTAAGCATTAATTTGATGTGTCATAATGTCTTATTAAAAACGAGTTTTGAATTATCATCCCTCTTATCTGACTTAATCTCCACTTCACTATGCATCAACAGGACATGTCGATATTACGGTAAGTGTACAGGTTGGCCTAGAAATGCCTTGACATTTTATGTCCATAATTTTATGAAATTATTTTGCGCACATGGGTTCTCGCCAGAGACTCGTGATAAAAACGATGTAAAATAATTTACTTCCGAACGTGTACATTCTCATTTTTGATTTCCATATGGATACATGCATGTATTCTATTTTCAAAAAGAGTATAATAAATTGGATTCATCAACATGAAAAGGTAACAATTACAGTATACTTATATTCACTGCACGATTGGATAACTATGCTAATGGGGGGGTGCACGGAATGGCCAATTAGACATTGTGAAATTTATAAAGGCCATCGATCTCATTAAGAATCGGGCTAAGAAGTAAGAATAGTCTTCATCTGTTATAAAATAAAGAACGCGTATATTGTTTGTTGTGTTCTGATTGGAATGTGCCATGGCATTGGTATTATGTCCTCTATGTGTGAATAGTTACTATAAGGGTGTCAGTTATCAAATAATGGCCAAGGTATTCGTGTTGGCTTTTATTAACCACTATGTTCCACTTGAGAATTTCGTATTCCTTTCAATAGGATATACTTCACGACCTTTATGGATCAATGCTAACAATTTCAAAGTCACGCCACTAAGTATCTATTGAAACCCCCGCAGAAAACTTGGCACTTCTACTTTTTACACCCTAGATTTGTTCTTTACTCCTGGGCCTTAAAGGCGCCTGGGTAAAGGCGACAGAGATCACTGTTTGGTTCGTAATTTAATGAAAGTAAATACCCATTTACACCAAAGATGTTCATCAGTTTATTAAACGACTTATTTATAATATATATTAACATTATCTCTATGTGTCATATTTTATGTCATATAAGTAACAATATAGTTCACTTTTCAATACCCTATTATCTTCATCAAAGACTAACACTGAAGGAAAATCTTAACTACCAAAAGTGTCGGGTTAATGGCGAGTAAATGATTCATTCTTGATAAGCCTTTGTGTTTTTATAATAATTATATAAACTGCGATTGGTTTTCATCCCTGTCAGTGACTCAAAAATATAAGAGTGACTTAGATTCAGAAGATTGCCACGGGGTATGGCAGATTGTGATATCATAAATGACATGATTGTTCCGCCTGTGTCGCATGTTGTAGAACCTTGCATAACTTGGAATTGAACACAACCAATTCTTGTTTCAGCATTAATGTATCCATTTTGACTGAAACAACTATTTTCAGTAAAAGATACGAAAATCGCTGAATCAGCAGAATTTAGATCATCCTCTCAAGCCGTTAAGTGTTTCATTGGCAACCTTTAAATGACTGCATAGAAAGACATGCGAAACATGGTTGTGCCAAATCTAACTAATGCCAATTATTTTTACATATTATGAAAAATGCAAGAGAATGGTATTGCTATAATACCGGCTACTTGCTGCATGTGACGAAGTTCTCTCCAAACAGTCTTCAGTGAAAATACTTCTCTTTGAAGAACACAAACGATTACCAATTAGTAACAAACACTAAATCAACTCCAAGAGACACACGGTTAATTATAATCAGTAAAAGCAGTGCAATTTAGGTCGAATAGACCTTACGATCGTAGGATCAATCTTTGAAGCCTGTATTAGAATATTTTACGAGAGGAACTACGATAGCCTAGCATCCTCTCTAGATCTCTTACGACAAATATACTACCAGAAACAAAGTATTTTTGATTGATATAATCATTTAAGTCCCCAAAAGATCAGTAGCCCTTTAATGTCATTAGATGCAAAATATTGCAGGGGTTGTTGGTGCACTAGTTTTACAGGCAGCTGCCTGCCATTTAATGATCGTCTCCGCCGATTGGGTGGCAGTTATGCTTCAGATATACTTTGCTTAGCTTTAAATGTGAAGCAGATTATGATGTTTTATATATTTCACGAGGTTTAGACTTCCTGTCATTAAACAGGAGATTTCGTGGAATTACCTTATTAGGACCGAGACGATCCATTGCCACTTACACAGAATCCTATGGCGGATCCGGGGGGCCCATGGGGCCCGGGCCCCCCCCCCCCCTAAGGTTGGCCCAGAAAAAAAAGTTGGGCCCAAAAAAATTTAGGCCAAAAAAGGCCTTTAGGCCCCAAAAAGTGGGCCTTTTGGTCATTATTGGGCCTTCTAAGGCCTTATTTTTTTCATTTTAGGCCAAATTTTGGTATTTAATAAGCCTGTGCACAATTTACATTGTTTTGCCACTCGTACCACGTGGCATTAAATGAGCCTGTGCACAATTTACATTGTTTTGCCACTCGTATCACTTGGCATGTAATAAGCCTGTGCACAACTTACATTGTTTTGCCACTCGTACCACGTGACATTTAATAAGCCTGTGCACAATTTACATTGTTTTGCCACTCGTATCATCACTTGGCATTTAATAAGCCTGTGCACAATTTACATTGTTTTGCCACTCGTATCATCACTTGGTATTTAATAAGCCTGTGCACAATTTACATTGTTTTGCCACTCGTATCATCACTTGGCATTTAATAAGCCTGTGCACAATTTACATTGTTTTGTCACTCTTACCACGTGGAGTTTAATAAGCCTGTGCACAGCTTTCATTGTTTTGCAAATCGTACCACGTGGCATTTAATAAGCCTGTGCACAATTTACATTGTTTTGTCACTCTTACCACGTGGAGTTTAATAAGCCTGTGCACAGCTTTCATTGTTTTGCCAATCGTACCATGTGGCATTTAATAAGCCTGTGCACAATTTACATTGTTTTGTCACTCTTACCACGTGGAGTTTAATAAGCCTGTGCACAGCTTTCATTGTTTTGCAAATCGTACCACGTGGCATTTAATAAGCCTGTGCACAATTTACATTGTTTTGTCACTCTTACCACGTGGAGTTTAATAAGCATGTGCACAACTTACATTGTTTGCCACTCATATCACTCGGGTTTTCTCCAGATGACAATATGAACATCATACCTTTTTCATAATACATGTACGTGTCAATATGATAGTTGAAATAATATTGAAGTCTGAAATGGAAATGCATACTAGTAGTTGAATTTTACGGCAATATTCAAAGTGATATTAAATTGAAACCTCTCATTCAGAGAGGGATTTTACCATTATTATACTTTACAATAACTTGTATAAGTAAAGTACGGGGGAGATGTTTACAGTTCCATTGGTTGTCTTAACGTTCGCCTCTTATTCTAGTGTTACCTTTATATCAACATACACTCCCCTCCATAAGTTTGGCAACCTTTTTTCCCCATTGAACTATGTGTTAAGGCCTCTTTATCTTTGAATTTTTATTTACTTAACCGGCGATGAAATAACTTATAATATTGATGGAAACGTAACTTGACTTTATTTCCAATACCTCCAAATTTTCTCAATTTTTTTCCTCAATTACAAATTGTCGAAAATTGATGATAAATTTGATGAATTTTTGAAAATCGTCATTCCCATGTAATCCAATGGGAAATGGAGGGTTCGGGGCAAATCAGAAATCGGGATATCTTTTCAGTAAAAGATTCAGCAAAAAATATTTTTATATAGAGAATTGAATTGTCTAACTTTTTTGAACACTAAGTGTTTAACTTATTTGATGAATATTAAAGTTACAGCGCTTCAAAGTCATTTTTGAAAATAATTTTTTGGCTCCTGTGTTATTTCAATGGGAGAGGTTTTTTGAAAAACAATTTTGACTTTAAAGCCCTACAACTTTGTTGAACCTGAAGAAACATATCATTTTTTTTGTTAAATAAAGTTAGCAAATTCAATTGCCTGCCTAACTCGTATTTTTTGCAAGGACTCGGATGGATGGATATTCAGTCATATGACTTGCGGCAAACCTACCATTTCCCATTGGTTAACATGGGAATGTCGATTTTCAAAAATTCATCAAATTTATCATCAATTTTCGACAATTTGTAATTGAGGAAAAAAATTGAGAAAATTTGGAGGTATTGGAATTAAAGTCAAATTACGTTTCCATATTTAATATAAATATTTTCATCGCAGGTTAAGAGAATAAAAATTCAAAGGTAAATAGGCTTTAACACGTAGTTCAATGGGGGGAAAAAGGTTGCCAAACTTATGGAGGGGAGTGTAGCTAGCTATGTATTCACCTGGCAATGAGAGGCTCAATGGATCGATCGATCCATCTTTTTAGGTTTTCATTGTGGGACAACTGATAAAAAGAAGCTGTCTAGCTAAATGGAAATTAGTTAAGCAAAATAAAGGCTCAAATAGTATAAAAATGACGTTATTTATCCCATGGTTTGAATATACAGTTAGAAAGGGGGATTACTAAGAATTAGTATATAATAACAGTACGAAAGTCTAATCGGTTAAAAAAATTAATTTGGACGAAAACCTTTTCTACTCATCATGTCTTTTATCGCATTCAGTAATGTCACTGTGTCAGCTTTGAGAGTCATGAAGTCCTATGGAGCAAATTCATTTTCGACATTTTACATATTTAGTTTGTTACTTATTTTTTCATTCATGTAAAATGGATTTTAATAACGTTTGAGATTAAATTGTTTTGGTTTTTCTTAAAAAAATAACTAAAATAAATGTTTAATTCACCCCTGGTTATGAAATGATTAATAGGACAACTTTGTAACAAGTGAGTAACGATTGTGACGTAAGCAGACCAGATCCTCAAAGCTGGAACTATCGCCTTTCAAATGGTATATTGAA